AGCAGCATGTGCCATGCCAGTGAAGCAGAGCTGGGATTCCCTCTGTACCTTCTGAAGGTGTTTGTGAGGGGGCTGAGCCCTGCCCAGCAGCATGTGCCATGCCAGTGAAGCAGAGCTTGGCCACTTCCCGTGCAGCTGTGAGTGCCCCGAGCAGCCCCAACCCCAGGGGAGCAGCCAGGGCCCCCCAGCTCACCACAAACACCCCCCAAGGCCCAGGCTGCCTCACATCTCACTGAGACATGGGGGAAAACTCACATTTCCTGGGAAATCTCTCACCTGCCCCAGCCTCAACGCTGCCCTTTGTCTCTCTGCCGAGACCTGTACAGTTCATGAAGGAAATAACGAGGGAATTGTTATTTGCAGTGGATAATTTCAGTTCTTCTTCAGAGCAGCTCTGTTCTGTTCCCCAGATGGGCCATGGGAAGGCTACTCAGAGATGAAAATCAGAAGCAGAGAGGTTTAGGAGTGCAGGAATGGCCTGTCCATGGCTCTCCAGGGAGGTCAGCTCCAGTTCAGGAGCGCCTACACAAATAACTGCCAGGAACTGTGAGAGTGTTTTAGAAGGATCACTCTGGACGTGCTGCTGCCTTGTATTTTTTCCTTAGGCAAGAAGTGCTGCCGTGGTAACAAAGGATTCTGGCTTAATAGAAGTGGTTGTGTGCTTTTTGCACCACTGAGCCTCTTGGAACATGCAGGTGAATTGGCTTGTGTGTATGAAGCAATAGGAATTTCCAATAAAACAACTTTTTATTGTGTGTGCGTGTTTTCTCATCTGCAGAGAAGAATAGCTGTGGTACCCTGCAAGGATTTGACTGAGCTGTGTATTTCACAGAGCTGACATTACTGCTGAAGACATTAACTTAGAAAGGCCTCGCTTTTTTCATGACTCACGCCAGAAACTATTTTCCTGTAGGTTTGTTCTGAGTGATTAAGATAGGTTTGCTTGCATATAAATGCTGTTCTACACATATAGATATATATATACATTACCTTCACCAGGGAAAGCTCCCACACTTTCCCTTGTTTATGCACATTATACGTGACAGAGGTTCCAAGTTAAATGTCAGAGCCCTTGTTTACAAGGTAAGCAATGAAGATAACCCAATTTCAAACTCCTCGTTTTCAGTGCTACCCATCTCACCCTTCATGGAGAACACTGGACAAGAGGAGTCGAGGCCACCACCCTGTCTGCTGTGAGCTTCCCAGCTTGTCCACCTGGGAACTGTAAAATTCCACGTACAGGTAGGAAATTACATTTAATATTTCAGCCAGTGAGGTAGAAATGGGGGCAGCACCTCAGAAGCTGCTTCTCAACCACTCCCTTTTTTCAGCCCAGCCACAGTGGCACGTTGGGAGCTGTTGGAGCAGGCAGCAGGCTCCCTCAGAGCCCGAGCCCAGGCAGGGAACAGCGTGCTCTGGCCACGCTGCCTCCATCCTGCCTGTCCCAGCTCGCCCTGAACATCTTCCTGTCTGCCCCAAAAATCCCTTCTTGCTACTCAAAGGATGCAAAGGGAACATGGAGCAAAGCACAGAACAATTCTTCAGTCTCTGAAGCCGTTAAAAATATTTTTGATAAAAGTACATACACGCACAGCTGAGCTCCAGTGAACACCTTCTTGTTTCTCATGCTAATTTTATATTGTTCCTAAAGCAGAGCCTGATTTTTCTCTTTGTGAAAGGAGAATTTTAATCCTGGTCCTATTCATTAATCATATCAAAACCCAAGGCATGCAGATACTATTTTTCAGTAATTTTAAGGTGTTAGTGTATTAGTAAAAGGTTAAAAAATGCAAAATAGCTGTAAAAAGGTTTGGGTTTTATTCTTGAAGTGTTTGGTTTCCTCACATTATTGCAGACGACATATATCTTTATTTCTCAGTAAGAGCAGACTGTGGCCCTGAACCTCTACAATTCCAAATACAAGCAAAGATAATGACTTTTTAAAAGTAAAGAACAAATTGTTCCACAAAAAATGAGCACAATCACAAAAAGAAGCATAAACTTCTCCTGCCTAGTGGTGGCTTCCAAGACGTCAGACATTTTGTAAACCAGCAATCGGATCCAGACCACGCAGAATTGGGACGGTCCTGCTTTTCCTGTTAATTTTTCCACTATGAGAGTGTCCAAAACTCTCAGAAATAAAGGATTACTGTCTAGGGGTTCAGAAAGTTATATTTTCATAGAACAGTTCTTTCTGACAGGTAACCCCAGCAAGCACACAAGCTGTTCCATTAAATGTCATGGCCTTGAGTTTAAAAATGTAGCCCACATCCCAAGCCCAACTGTTTGTTTGTTTTCAGGAGTGTTTTCAGTGCTGCTGTGGCCCAGAGTTTAGATCAGTGGTTTAGCTGCCTGCACCTCATTTAGAGGTTGTAAGCAAGAGACCCAGTTTGGTTTAGTGTTTAGCAAATTATCTTCACCCTTTTGCCACTAAATCACTGTACAAGCACGAGCAAACCACTCAGCTCTTCCTCTCCTTCCCCTTATTCAAATGTACCCAGACCATGACTTGTGATATGACTGTGAGGAGTGAAGATCAGCCCATGAACATGGACAGAAAATTCTAGAAGCTTTGCTGAACCAAGGTCACAGCATGAATTGTGTGTATAGAGATGAGATTTGAGTATTGACAAAATCTTTCTGGACGAAAAAAGCATGGAATGGTGCCCGTGGTTTTCTATCCAAAACAGCCAGAAAGAAATGCTGTTCCCCAGAACAGAAATCTGTTCTGAGATCACCCTGATGTAATATGGACTTAGAGGTCTGAGGCAGGTCCTTCAGCCTCTGGGCTTGCAAAATGTGCCGGGCCAAGAATTGAGAAAACAGAAGAAGATTATTTAACTTCACCCCATTTCAAAATGTAGTAAGAATGTATTTCTGCATTTTAAAAAAATTATTTGACTTCCCCATCTGTGTTTCACTTGGTTCACATATTCAAGCCATTTTCTAGAGTTGTGAACAACTTTTAAATCAGAGTTCAGACCCTTAAATAATCACAAACTATCAAAAAACTTGGCCTTTTCAGAAAAACACAAATATACAGCAAGTCAACAGCACTAGCAAGTCAGTAATTGAGGCATCCTGCTTTTAGTTGTTGTAAATAGTATCAGTAATTTTTTTTGCAGTGCTTTAGAGGTATTGAGGAGATATTTCCTCAAACAATATTGGGATCATCAACTACAGGGGTTCCAGATCTTTGTACTTCAGGCATCCCAACCAAAGCAGCCAAAAACTGGGTCAGGGCAACAGTCCAAAATTTTAGTGGTGAGCCTCCAAAATTCAAGACACTCAGGGAATGCATGTTGGGGAATAATATGAGAATGCCGAAGGAAAAAAATAAGAAAGACATATTTAATTGTATCCAATATTAATATTTCAAAAATTGGTACTGTCAATTTGGAATAAAAGCCTGTGTTTGAAGTGGCTGTGAAAAGCCAAGGCAGTTGCCTCAGAGCTCAGCCACTGTCTGATGCCATGGGTTCCTGAGTTGCATGAGGCCATGTGGATGCTGGCTGCTCCAATCCACAGGCACCGGGAGCTTTGGGATGCTGCTTTCGAGGAGTCTCCCCCGGGTTACTCGGGATCCCGGAGGATGGGAACGAGGGTTGGCAAGAACCCGCGGGTCTGGCAGCTGCCGAGCTGCCCCGCAGGCTTCCCAAATTGGGGCTCGCCGCCGTCCCTTCTGAGAGGATGGAGAAAACTGGGAAGCATATCTCAGCTTGAAAACTCAGAATTCGGGAGCCAAGTCCCTCAAAACTTTCACCCTGTTGCTCCTGGGCAGCTGCTGCAGGGAGATGAGATGCAGCTGGAGCTGATAGAAGAAACCGGCCTGGTTGGGGGCACCTGCACAGTCACCAGGTGCCTCTGAGACTCCTTGCTCAGCACCATTTTGGGGTAGTTTAACAGAGAACTGCTGATTTGAGGAGCCAGGGTTTATAATTATATGTTTTTTTAGGACCTGGGCTGCCTTTCGGCATGCTTGAGACCGGGGAGTGTGACAACCCAGTCTGCCCAGTGATGGAAAGTTAGAAACTGGAAATGTACCTGGATGCCACCCTGAGTCAGCCCAAACCGAAGCATCTCTACAAAACACCTAGATGTGAACAAACTGCCGTCCTCTGACAAAAATATTCCGTCTGAGAATTTCTGACCAGCTCCGGTGGTAAACACCTCCAAGGGTGTCCTTTTTGTCTGATACAGGGCAAAAATTATTCGGGTACCTGTTGCTCGGGGTGGAAAGATGAGGGAATGGAATAGTAAATTAAAGGGGTTGGAACAAAATGCAGCTGATTGTCTGAGAACGGCTGGCCAAGCTGCGTTCAGGTATCAGTGTGGGAATGGACGAAACGCCCGTGGCAGGGGTTGCAGCCACGCTGTGGACCCTCTTGTCCCCTTCCCCTCACTGAGCGGGCTTTACACTTGTGGGGCTTTACACTTGTGTTTCTCTTCCTGCCTGCCCTCGGTGCGGTTTGTCCGGGCACTTCTCCCTGTCCTGCTCCTGGGCGTTTCTGCCCTCGCCGTGGGCCCCGCGGAGCGCGATCCCTCTCGGGGAGCCGGGGCCTCCGCGGGCGGCGATTGAGGCGCGGAGTTCCCGGCGGGCCGGCCGCCTCCCCGCCCTCCTTCCATCCTCCCTCCCTCTCTCCCTCCCTCCCTCGGCGGCGTGTTTGGGAGGGAAGGAGGGGGTGGAAGCCGGGCCGGGGCGGCCAGCAGGCAATTTGCATGAGAGACAGACTGGGAATGAGCTGGAGTGGGCGCCTCTCCGCGCACACAGAGCGGGGCAGGAGGGGGAGGAGGAGGGAGCTGCCGCCGCCGCCGCCGCCGGGGAGAGGCGGCGAACTCCGGGCAAAGTTTGGAGCCGCGGGCCCGCGGCGCTGAGGCAGCGGCGGGCGGAGAGCGGCCGGGCCGGGCAGGGCCGCGCGGTGTGAGGCGGCGGCGGGCAGAGCGCGGGGGGCGGCGGGCAGAGCGCGGAGCCGGCGGCGGGCGCTGCCGGCACAGCCAGCATGTCCTCCATCCTGCCCTTCACTCCTCCCATCGTCAAGCGGCTCCTGGGCTGGAAGAAAGGCGAGCAGAACGGGCAGGAGGAGAAATGGTGCGAGAAGGCGGTGAAGAGCCTGGTGAAGAAGCTGAAGAAGACGGGGCAGCTGGACGAGCTGGAGAAGGCGATCACCACGCAGAACATCAACACCAAGTGCATCACCATCCCCAGGTACCGGGGTGCGGAGGGCGCGGCCCCCGGGGTCCTGCGGGGTGCGGGGGAGCAGCGGGACCCGCAGGGACCCTCAGGGACCCCCGAGCTCCGGCACGGCCGGGACAGGGCTCGTTTGGCGTCCCGGCCCTGCCGCACTCGCTGCGGTGTTGGTCCTCTCTGCCTGCTCCTTATCTAGTTAAGAAAAACCCCGTAACCGGCTACAGAATTGAATTACTCTCTAGTAACGAGAGAGAAAACATGCCTCGAGCCGAGATCATAAAAAAGAAAAAAAAGTTGGAAGCGCTGCGGATCAGTTCCACTCACTGAGGGTGCTCTCATTGTCAGAAGTTTCAGCGTGTTCTCAAGTGCTGTTGCATTACGATTTTCTTGTGATTAGTGCGTGAGGAAAACGGTTTTGTTTGGGTTGTTTGGCTTCTTCCTTATTACTCTGAAGGGGTGATTTAGAGCCCTGCTCTGCTGATGTTTTCGAGTTACTTTTTAAATCGGGAATGCAAATGGCAGAGCTGAAGGAGGTCGTTTGGAGTGCAAAAAACACCCCACACATGTGAGGGTGAATACAACTGATTTTTTCCTCCATTTTTTGAATGAACATAGATTTTATTTTTAGTCTGCATTCTGAACTCGATCCGCAGGGCCATCATAAATCATAAAAGACGTGTATAAAACTATCCCACCTAAGAATAATTTTCCAAGTAACTTTCAAATGGCTGCCCACAAGTGGTGTTTTATTGCTGCAGATTGTTGATTTCTGTGAGCTCAGCCAGATGACTGCTGGGTCTGTTCCTGATTGTTGTTTCAGAGTACTTTTTTTTTATTTAAGCAAAGGCCAAAGTTCATTCCAAATATTTGAATGCTGCATAATTGTGTGCTTCTGCGTGAGAAGATATCTGTGTGTGTGTGTGTATTCATGCTTCTCCCTGGCACAAACAAATGTATGCTTTCTTGGTTGTCAGAATGATTTAATATGCAGGAGCTGATACAAAGCAGCATCTGTTGCATGAAAAAGTGAAGCAAGTAGCTTAGAAATGTGGATGTTTGGAGCTCCTAAAATTTTCTTCCAACAACTGCAGTGTTTTTTTAAAAGGAAAAATAAAGCCTCCTTATCTTTTTGGTGCTGAATGACTGTGGCTAAGATTTTGGCCAGTAATGCAAATGAGAGCTCTCAGCCTTTGTTAGAGTTGCTCCGGCTTCTACTTGGAGCAGAAATCAAAACCTGTAGAGCCGCCACGCAATACAAACGCCTTAAAACCTATATTTTTAAAGTTCTTGGTAAGCAGCTTGCTTTCCACGTACATAATTCACCGTTTAAAGCACTTCCCTGAAATATTTACCATTTCAAAAGAAGAAAATTGCTGTAGCAGCCCTGCTGCTGTGACCTGGGTATTGTGTCTGGCTGATGCTGACCCGTTAGGGAGCACAGCATGAAGGCCTCTGGAACTTCTGTGACTCCTAACAAGGGGGTTTATATAAGGAAAGATTTGATATTTTATAATTTAAAGGAAGAAAAGAGTTAGGCCAAACACAATGCTTTATTTAAAAAAAGAAGTAAAGGTTGAAAATAAATAACAACACAAACATAAATCACAAGTCATGAATACTCACCCTTAGAGATTGTCCTGGCTGTTCCTCCTCTGTTAAAGAAAATCTGTGCAGAAATTAAAACATTTGATGTTCATTTATGACACTGAGCCTGGATCCTGCAGATCTCAAAGCTCGGTGTGGGGGAGGCATCAGCCTGTTTTGGTGGGAGCCCCTTGGACCTTGGCATTTGTTTTAAACACAACTTCATGTCTGCTTTTTTATTGTTTAGAAACGGCCGTGGTTCGGTTTTCTGCACGGAGATGTTCATATCTGTGTGTCAGAGGTTGGGGAGTGGAACACAGAAAGATCTCTCTGAAGTCAGTGCAGAGCTGCAGCTCTGACCAGGCCTTGTGACTTTAAGAGCTGTGCCTTTTCCTCTGGGCTGCACTGCTTGTCCTAATGTATCTGTGAATCTGATTACTGTGTCATCTGAAATTAGTGTTTGCAAGACGATTTTAGCCTGGTTTTAGCTTGCTGTTTGTTATTTTCATTTAATAATTTTAACGTATGTCATTTTACTATTTACTCAAATAATATGTTGGGGAGGGGGGAAAGGGGGAAAAGCATCATTAAGGATTAGCTCATGTTGTGCATTGTCTGTAATGCATCAGTAGACTGAATTACAGTGGAGCCATGCCAGTGATGACTCTGGCCCAGCAGGAGCAGGGTAAGTCCAAAATTAGCTATTGTATCCATGAGACAGAGCAAGTTTCACATGGAAAAGGGCTCGAGCTTTGCAGAAACATTGCTTGTGGGAATGAGGGCTACGCAGCAAATTCCTGGGCTGATCAGGTGGGATTGTTTGAAGAAAGGACAGGAAAAAAAAATTTGTTTTGTTGTATGGCTGAGGAATTAGAATAACAAATGTATTCCTGCTGTCATGTTTATCTGCTGGGATCTGGAAACATGTACTGCCTGCTATCTCCTGACAGATTAGTAAACAGGGATTAGTTTATTTGCTTGTGTATTTGCTCAGCATGTGTTACTTCTGCAAGTGCTCCATTTCTGAGGTGTGACAGACACCCCAGGTTTTCTGTTGGGAGAACCTGTGGCAGACAGCAAAAGGCTGGAGAGGCCTTCAGGGATTTCAGTGTGACTCTCCTGGCAAGAGGGATTTTTCCTTCTTGTTTTCACTGCTGGAGAGGAGAAAGTCATTTCCACCTGCAAAACTCTGCTCTCAGACCATCTGATGGTTTCTGGTGCTGCTGCTGCTGCACAGGAGAGCTCCTTTAGAGGCTCTTCCTTCCCTCCTTCCTCCTCTGCTCTCAGCTGCCCAAGCCCATCCTGCCCCAGCAGGACCTTTCTTTAAACCTCTGTGCCCTGAGCTGGTGCCCTTTGGTGTCAGAGCTCACCTAGTGAGTCCTGGCTCTCCCTGGCAGAAAGGTTTTTTCCTCCCAAAGTATTGGGTGATAAAAGTTGAGAGCACACATTCTTCTGCCTGTTAAAATGCATCCTTTGTCACAGTTGCTTATCTTGAAAGCCCAGCTTTCAGGATGAGCATTTTTATCACTTTTCAGACCAAGCTGGGCACAAGTGTGCCATTAACACCTACCCAGCACAGGCAGCTGGGTGTTTGTGGCTTCTCTGCTTTGCTCTGTGAGCAGGCAATGATCTGCTCCAGCTGGTGCCTCTGTTCTCTTCTGAGACCCAAACATGCGGTAAGAATGGCCCCTACAGCTGACATTCATACAAACCCGAAAACCCTGAGTTTCTAGCACTGTTCTGAGCCGAAGAGAGGCACAAGAGGTGTTCTCTTGTGCACCTGAGAAACCAGCAGCATTTGCCCTGGAAATGAAGTGTGATGAGTGTTCAACTCAACATTTTTAGGGTCTGATCTACAGAAACCAGACCATGTGATGGGCACTCAGTAATTTCTACAAGCTGTGCAGTATCTGTAGTCTTGCTTTATGAGATAGTAAATGCTTTGTTTCAAGAGCTTTAGTGGTGCTACACACACACAAAGACATAAATCTCCTGACGTTTTGTAATATATTTTCATATGCACATTTTTCTTTTGAACTCATTACCGTATTTATTTGTTTTGGTATCACCAGTGGTTTTAGGGGAGCCAGGATTCCTGTATGTAAGGAACACCTTCTTTTAAGTGGTGGGTTGTATTTTTTTTTTTTTTTAATTTAGAAAACAGTTTTGAAGAGAAGGTGGGTGTTAATTCTTGTGGAACTCATCTGATAAGGGCAGAATGTACCAATTAAAATGGAAACATGGCACATTTGCTTCTTAGAAGCCACTGAACAAGGTGTTCCTTAAATTATTTACATTTTGGTGGGGAAAACCGGGGATAATACACAAGGAACTTAATGAATAAGGATAATAGAGAGGGAACATAAATAATTCAGAAACATCTTGGGTGTGAGCACAGCTTCAGCTGTGTGGTAGTTGACCACACAATATTTACAGGACTTGATCATGTTCTCAGGTTTGAGGTGATACCAGAAAAATAGGAAAGCTGTGAGGATGTGAAGTGGCAGAGCTGTCTGCAAGACCCTGAAGGATGTTGTGGTTTCACATCATGGTGTGATTTTGGGACTTGCTCCTTGTGGGTCCCTTCCAGCTGGGGATATTCTGTGACTCCACACTTCTTTTGGGGCTGCCCACCTAATGCAGTAACCAGCAAGGACCAGTCACAGCTTTGTGTGTCCATGTGAAATTTACTTATTTTTCAATGCAGTTTCAAGCTACCTTGTTTTCAGTTCTCTGTCCCTGAGTGTGAGGAGCTTTAATATTTCATGGCTTGTCTGGGAGTGCCTGCAGGGCTCAGTGCCGGTGTGCAGGGTGGTTACAGCCCAGTCCCTGTGTGCAAACACCCCTGGCTGCCATCCCCCTGCTCAGCTCCATCCTGCCGGGGATTTTCCTGCTGCAGACCCGTGTCAGTGACCTCTGTCCTGCCCGAGCTTTATGGGCAGGGTTTACAGCCCCGCCCGACCTTTGTGCTGCTGCAGTGCCCTCATCAGCCCGGCTGTGCTGGCCTCTGGGACAGGCAGGTCAGCTCTGCAGGGGAAGGTGCACTGAGTGCACATGGGCCTGAGCCTGACAGTGCTCCAGGAGCGTTTGGGCCCTGCTCTTGGGCACAGGGTGTGACTCTTGGCATGTCCTGTGCAGGGCCAGGAGCTGGACTCTGTGATCCTTGTGGGTCCTGTCCAGCTCAGCTTTTTCTGTGTGATTCCCTGACTTTCTGCCTGCAGTCCTGCTTGTCCATCAGTGCCCATCTCATCTCCTCTCAGGCCAGCCTCCCCTCTCTGGGTATAGATTTCTGCTTCCTGCAGCCCCTCCAAGTGTTTCTCCCCCCCTTGCACTTGTTCCTCCCTCTGACATCAGCCTGGGTGATGTGTGTGGAGTTGTTGTATTGCACACGATGGCATTCCCAAAAACAAAGCACTGCTGTCAGGCTGGAGCAA